CAGAACTGCAGGCATGTGGAGCGCCGGAAGCAGGGTCCTTGGGTCACCGACAGGTCAGCCTTCCAGGTCCTCTCGCACGTGGGACACAGCGATGGTAGAGATAAGAGGGTGGTGTGGCGGGGAAATCCTGAATCACACAAGGATGTGTTGTGCGACAGCTGCGTGAGCTCTAGCAGGATGTTCGAGAGCATGTCCTGGGGGCGCTTTGCCGTGGGAGAGGGTGTTGCTGTGGGAAGTGTGCTGAGTTGTGTGTTCCTCGGCCCTGCACGTGGCGCCTGCTTCCAGGCTGTGCATGAGGCTGGCTTGTCCCGTCCTGGGATGCTGGCAGGAGTGCGGGTCTGTACATTCCCACATCTTGTGAGGCACGTTTCTCAGCATCAGCAGCCCCAGCTTCTTCCTCCTCGTGGTCCTTCCTCGTTGTGAGTGGGAGGCGGATGGGCCGGGGGGCAGGGTTGCTAAGAACACCTGCCTTACTCTTTGGGGGGTTCCCAGGGTTCACGCGGTAGCCCTGTCAGCCCTGAACACGGAGAGCCACTGCCTGTGAGGCCCTGGGGCATCTCTGGAGAGCCTGTCATGGCCTGGAGCTCACCATGCAGTCTCCTGGGACCCTGACAGACTGCACCAGGCTGCATCCTGCGCCAATGAAACCGGAACCTCGGGGCTGATCCCATAGTGGTCAGGAGGGAGATGGGATAATGCTGGGCCTGGGAGGGACTGGGAGGCCGAGTCCAAGGCGAGGGCCGTGGGGCGGTGCCTGTTCCGGTTCTCCTGCAGCCGGTCTGTCCGTCCTGCTTGCCGCGACTGCTCTCCAGCCACTTTCTCTTTTCTATTTTTCCTTGCTGGAAAGCTGTAGGAGGCAGTGGGGTGGGAAAGCTCCACCCACAGTGTAGGTTAGAACCTTGGAGGCAATGGCTTCGCCCGCCAGTGAGGTGGGGAACAGAGCCTCCAGCAGTGCCGGCGTGTGGCTGGGGCAGCTGCAGCAGGAGGACGCCCAGAGCCTTGGCCGTGAACAGATAGAACCATCGAGGCCGAGTCGGGTCGTCCTCCTGTTCAGACCAACTGTGTGTCCCTTTTGTCAGACAGCTGATGACCCCTGCTGGCACATCTGCGTCCCAGCCGGGAGGCGGCCGCTCCCTGTCCATGCCAGCCGTGCACCGTGCCCACGGGAGGCTCAGTGTGGGGGTTTGGAGCAGCGGCATGCTGTGTGACTCCCCAGGTGATAAGGAGGTCCTCATCTCCACCTTCGTCTTCTTTCCTCAAGTCACTTTTCCTGGCACCTCACTAACCATGAGGTTTCATGGGAACCTTGCGGAGTCCTTTGTGTGCTTGGCCCGGGGACACAGGCCATGGGGACGCTTGGCCTAGGGACACAGACCCTTGGGGAGTCCCTTGTGTGCTTGGCCTGGGGACACAGAACTGTGTCTGACCGCTGGGGCCAGAAGGGTTTGCCGAGAGACCAGACCTGAGCAGCTGCTGTCTACCTGCCACATGTGCCAGCCCCAGCCCTCCTCCAAAGTGAGTGGGGGGAGGGAGGCTTCTGGGTGTTGCCGGGACCTGGCCGGGGGCGGAGCGGCTGAGCCGTGCAGGAGAGGATAGGGATGCAGGCGTATCCGCAGGAGCCAGGCTGCTCTGTGGATGTGGTTGTGGAGCCTGCACCTTTCTCCCCCAGTCTCTCCAGGGCTGCTCTGAGCCCGCAGCTGGCCAGCTCAGTGGCCCGGGGTTAGAAGGAGTGCACCGTCCGTGCCTGTCCAGTGGCCTCAGCCTCTGAGGAGATGATGCAGGGAGCTTTGGATGCTGCAGGTGTCTTCAGTATTCATTTTCAAAGTATCAGTCTTCAGTCTCAGCGGGGCCTTTTTCTAAACAGACGGTAAAAGCAGAACCTCTCCCAGAGCAGCTCCGAAGGAGGAGGCCGGACCTTGAGGGCGGGAAGCCCTGGTTGAGGCTGGACCGGAAGCCTGGCCCCCAGGTGATGCGATGGCAGCCCTGGCTGACCCACAGCGCTCTGAAAACGGGTCCTTGGACACCCGCCCAGGGGCGTGTTTTCACCTGCGGACCAGGGGTGTGGGGGACAGTGGGAGGCGGGGCTTCCCAACTGCAGCTGACCTGGAAGTGCGTAATTTCAAGCGGCAGCGAGACTGGGCGTCCCAGAGCCAGGATGAGCCAGGATGTGTGGGGTTACCCTGCCCCCCTTTTCCCTTCCCATAGAGTGGGGCGGGTGAGCGGCTCCCGCTTGGCTCTGAAGCTCCCGGGCACTGGGGTGTGTGGCTGGGCCAGGCAGTGGGTGGCTCTTCTGGTGGCAGTCACAGAGCTCTTGCTGCATCACTGTGCCAGGGAAGACTTCACAGCTATGGATATTTAGGGTCCAGTTCAGTGTGTCACACACCAGAAACTTTAAATTTTTTTCTCAAATGTTCTACATTAGTTGGCAAAGTATAATCTTCAAAGTCATGGCGGAGTATTGGGTGTAATCCTCCTGGAGGCGGGAACGGGCTTGGCACCGGCAGGTTCCGGTTGGCCCTTTGCTGCTGTGTGTGTGGGTCCCCTCGTCTCTCCTCTCTCCCTCCAAGGTGGGACGTGGTACCCTGGGAGCAGCTGTGCTGAGTCTCTCCTTGGTGTCCAAGGGGCTGGGATGGTCCAGGGTCCACAGGTGTCACCGGGGCAGCCTGCCCCTTTGAGTTTCCGTGTCAGATCTGGAAGCCATGTTGCCACACAACAGCAAGTTCACAGCACTGTCTCCATGTGTCCCACTCTCCTGCCAGGGTCCAGGCAGCTGGGAAACAGCCTTGGTTTGCTGAGAAGCTGCATCCTGGGTGTCCCTGTCCCAGAGCCCTCCTCGCTCCCAGCCTGCAACTGGGGCCTGGTCAGGGGACCCTGCATGTTTCCTCCTGCCGCGGGCACGCTCAGGAAGTGCTGTGTGTGCATGACGCCCGCGCGCACGGCCTGTGTGCTGGGGGCTGTTTTCCTTCACTCACATCATAGAATCGCAGACAGCAGCCCTGCCACCTGTTCATTCTGCCCGTGAGCACACGGAGTTCCCAAGGGGAGAACTGGCCCCGGGCTAGGTGACCCCTCTCAGCTCAGCAGTTCCGCGTGATGCCGAGACATGCGTGTGTTCTCCTGGTGTAGCCATCTCAGCAGGGGCCCTGGGGTCCCCTGGCAGGATGTGCGGGCCGGTGTTGACGATGGGTGTCATAGGTGAAGCCTCACAGCCTGCATTTACGGTGCATGGTTAAATGGTCCCCAAAATCACATTCTGTGTTCACAGTGTGGGGAAATAGGATGGGGGTAGAAGGTGACATCTGAGGCCTGCGCCGCCTCTTGGGTTTGCTGAGTTCCAGAAACGACCGAGCCATGTGGGCGCCGTGCTGCAGCTTTAGGGTTTTGTGAGGCTTGCCCTCCCCTCTGGGGACACGCAGGCCCCAGGTTGCGAGTTGCCCAGGTCTTGGTATGCCTTGGAGATGAATTCTGCACTCGTGTGAGGGTCTTCCTTAGGCGAGCATCAGCATCGTGGTCTCCAAGGACCAGAGCCTGGCCTGAGGGGACAGCCTGAGAGCAGGTTCCTTCCTGACCTCAGAGCCAGTTGTCTCCGTTGTGGGTGATCACATTTGAGCTCCTGGGGCGGGCCCCGGGCCTGGCACTCAGCATGGAAGTGGCCTATAGGCCAGTTTAATTGGAGAAGCTCCTGAATGTCCGTCGATCTCAGTCCGTTGCGTTTCAGGCGCGTTTCAGTGGCTGAGTGCTCCTTAGTGCCGGCGGGGAAGTGAGGAGGACGGGCCGCCTCTGGCTTAAACTCCGTGCTGTGCCACGGGAGGGGTCTGCCTCGCTTTACATCTGCGCAGGGCTCGGGGCCCGAAGTGCTGGGTGCGACACGTTTTAGACACATTTTAGAGTTTGCAGAGGGATGAGGAACCCACCAGCTACGGCCTCACACGCTTTGCTCCTGGAGCTGCCGCTGCCTCCCTCACATCCACACAGCGACTGTCACTCACACCTTCAGAGAATCACAGTGGAGATCATTCTGCGAATATTGTTTTCTTATTTTTATTCCTCGTATCCATCAGTGTTCAAAACATTTTTTCTGTATTTCTTTTTTTTTTCTGAGACGGAGTCTCGCTCTGTCTCCCAGGCTGGAGTGCGATCTCGGCTCACTGCAAGCTCCGCCTCCCAGGTTCTCACCATTCTCCTGCCTCAGCCTCCCGAGTAGCTGGGACTACAGGTGCCGCCACCACGGCCGGCTAATTTTTTGTATTTTTAGTAGAGACGGGGTTTCACCGTGTTAGCCAGGATGGTCTTGAACTCCTGACCTCATGATCTGCCCACCTCAGGCTCCCAAAGTGCTGGGATTACAGGCGTGAGCCACCGCGCCTGGCCTATATTTCTTTTTTTTAATGCACAGCCTTCCAATGACTTTTTCTGTGTTTCAAAAGATTAATAAAAGCACAACTTTTCAGAGCATTGAGGAGCCGGCCTGTCTTGGGGGTGTGTGTGTGTTGTGCGGGGCCAGAGCTGGAGCTGCACTGGCGTGGCCCTGCCTTGGGCGGAGCTGTGGCTCCCGTGGGCACCGCTGCTGCGGCCACAGATTTATTCCAGCACGAGGCGGAGAGGGGGTGTCTTGTGTGTGTGGACTCGGAGGATGAAATCGCCAGCTGGACCCCAGAGCCTTTCTTCCCCAGGGTGGCCCAGCTGGCTGATTCTGACAGTGAATTTGTCAGCCCTGGGCTGTGATTTCAGGGGGGCACTCTCGCTCTTGGAAGGGGCGTGTTGGTTGTGCCAAAGCTGGTGGGATGGGGAGCCGCTTCTTCAGGAGAGAGAGGGGTGATTTTCAGATGACTCTTTTCCCACTCTTGGAGCATTAAATTCTGGCCCCAGTGGTGCCACTGAAGAAAGGTGATAACCTCTTTCTCCTCCCCAGAGATGACGCGTCTGTCAGGGAGACCCTTGCTCTGGAGGGGGCCGGCTGCCGCTCACTCACGGCCGTCTCTCTCCCACTGTGCTTGCAGGTGTGGCCGACGAGGATGCCCTCGCTGAGGAACGCATGCGGAGAGGCCAGAACGCCCTGCCAGCCCAGCCTGCCAGCTTCCGCCCGCCGAAGCCGCCCCGGCCTGCCTCTCTGCTCAGACATGCGCCTCACTCTCTCTATGAGGAGGAGGGCGAGCAGGACCGACCTCGGGCACCCGGGCCCTGGGACCCCCTCGCATCCGCAGCAGGTGTGCAAAGGGAGGCAGCCGAGGAGCAGGCCCAGAGGGAGACTTCCGTGGGTGCCAGAGGACAGCGAGGACACAAACCGCGCCTGTGCTGCTGTGTTCTGACCTGAGCGGGCGGGGGCGGGTGGGGCGGGAGGAGGTGGCTTCGCTCTGTTCCCCTCCCGCCCGCAGCCCCCACGCCACGGTGGCTCCGGGCCCCCCACCGTTAAAACGGGGTCCCCGTGTCCTTTACACAGTGTGTTGCTCCCCAAAGGATGACAGAGCTGCCACAGCAGTGCGAGGTGCTGCTTTTACCGTAGACGTGCCTTTCCGTAGCTTTCAGCGTAGAGCTTGAGGCCTGTGGCTTAGGCCAGGTGGTCTCGTGCTGGGGGGGGTCTGCATCTGCTCCTGCCCCTCCATCAGCTTCACCTTCTCGTGCCTTCTTCTGCGCTGGGTGCAGAGCAAAAGACCCCCTCAAGTCAGACCTCCTTGTGAAGCGTAGTCTGCCCGCTCACCCGCCCTGGGGTTCTTGGCCGCCCTGCCCGCCGCCCACCTCAGGGAGCCGGAGAGTCTCTGAAGTGAGTGCCCCGGAGAAGTTCTGGGTCACCCTGAGGACGTGCTGTGCATGTGGGCTTGGCCCTGACTGCCTACTACAGCCCAGGGTCTGTTTAGTGTGAACCGTGCATCGGTTGGAAGCATTTGTGCCCCCTCTGGTTCTTATCGCTGCACGCAGTGAGGGGCCCCAGCCGCTTCTGTCGTGCAGGAAGATAGGGATGGCCGATCTCTGGGTTTGGGGGACCTGAGCGGATGTCCTGAGGTTACTTCTGTGGACGTGGGCGGAACAGCACTGTCTAAGCAGGACCGGAGAAGCAGCGGGGAGGTCTCTCCCTTTCCCTTCATGGAACTTTCTATTGAAAAATTAGCCCCTTCCAGTCCTCCTTGGATGAAGCACAGTTGCCGGTTACGCTTCCGAGGAGGACGGAAGGTGCACCCCCAGCCATGAGAGCCTCAGGACGCGACGCCTGTGGGTGGGCCCAGCAGCCCCTCCAGCTGGCCGGCCGCCCACCTGCTGTGCTCGACTTTGCCATGTGAGTGTGCTGTGTCACTGAGGGACAAACAGAGGCAGTTGCAGGCTGTGTGCACCCAGAAAGAACTCCCCATGCACTGAGTGGGTGTGGGGGAGGCTCCCCAGGATCCCTGCACTGAGTGGGTATGGGGGAGGTTCCCCAGGGTCCCCTTCATTGAGTGGGTGTGGGGGAGGCTCCCCAGGATCTCTGCACTGAGTGGGCGTGAGGGGAGGCTCCCCAGGATCCCTGCACTGAGTGGGTATGGGGGAGGCTCCCCAGGATCCCTGCACTGAGTGGGCGTGAGGGGAGGCTCCCCAGGATCCTTGTACTGAGTGGGTGTGGGGGAGGCTCCCCAGGATCCCTGCACTGAGCGGGCGCGGGGGAGGCTCCCCAGGGTTCCCTTCATTGAGTGGGTGTCGGGGAGGCTCCCCAGGATCCCTGCACTGAGTGGGCTTGGGGAATGCTCCCCAGGGTCCCCTTCATTGAGTGGGTGTGAGGGAGGCTCCCCAGGATCACTGCACTGCGCGGGCGTGTGGGAAGGCTCCCCAGGATCTGTTGTGCACTCCTGGTACTGAAGGGTCTGAGGGCGGTAGGGAGGGCGCACTGTTTGTCGATGGGTCTTTGCAAGGTGCAGGATAGAGCAGGGTCATAGCTGTAGTGTCCCTGAACCACTGGGGTGAGGAGGCCACCGGAAGCCTGGCCTGTGAGGAGCCTTGTGATTTCCCAGGCCCCAAGAATGTGGTGCACAGGTGCGAGCCGCCTGGAGGAGCCACGTTTAAAGTGAGGTGAGACTCCTGGAACAGCACCCAGCACAGGCCTGAGGCCACACCCGTATTTCAGAACTGGGCTGGTCTCCTCCTCCCAGCGACTGTGGCTGTGGGCGGAACTGATGTGGGAGGCAGGCGCCGTTCTCCCCGCGCCTCACGGCTTTGCCAGTTTGTCTCCTCGGCTTCCCTGCCATGCACCGTTTCTGAGGGGGAAAGCTGGCTGACTGCTGAATCCCAACACAAACCCTTACAGCAAAGAGGCCAGTGATGGCTTTTGTTTCTGCCCGGATCCTCTTTGGGGAGCTTCCGTCCCAGAGCTTTTCCTCTCATTTGTTTCCTTTTTAATCGCTTCATGAGATCTTGAAGATACCAAAGTAACCATCAAAGATTTAAAGATGTGATTTTCATACAAATATATAATGAACACATGTCAGAGACTTTTACTTAAGTTCTTATTGAGAGATGACAGAGCTGACTCAATGGATGATTCAGGAAGCTGCTGCAGAGTTGGAGACAGAACTAGAGTGAAATTGCAAAGCAGGGTGGTTTTGGTCTCTGCAGAGGCCATTTGCGACTCACTCACCGACTCCAGGGCGCTGGTGGGTGACAAGAAAGAGGCTGAGCAAGGCTCCCCCCCTGCAGGCTCACTCATTGTATCCGGATCAGAGCACCAGCACTACCAAATCGGAACAACTGTACATGCCTGCAGACAAGGGCATGTGCTAGTGTGGGCATGACAAAGTCACACAGGTGCAGACCCCTTAGCTCCAGCCTGCTGGGTGTGCTGACCAGGGGACTTTGTAGCGATAACACAGGCTCCTGAGTCAGGATACTGGTTTGCTGCATTTTTGTGTCACTGAAGGTCTCTCTTTCCCCGAAGCCCCTTGTCACGGAAAACCCATGACTCTCGGCCAGGCCTCTGGGTGCCTGGAAGATCCCACTATCTTTTTGTGGGATTGGCATGTCCTGGGCAAGGTTCCTGAAAAAGGAGTACGCAGTGAGGAGACCGGCCACCCAGCAGTATTGACGGCCCCTGCTTTGGCCTCCAGCCGTCTGACCGGTCCCTGAATCGAGTAGGTCTTATTGGAGCTCCCAAGAGTGAGCGAGCTTCCACTCATGGAGTCACAGCCAGGTGTGCAGCCCCCAGGCCTGGGCGGTTCTAGGGCATGATTTTTTTTAGGCTGGAAATGAGCTCTCACTTGAGATGCACCCCTCAAAATACGGAACGTACTGCTTCTGCAAGAATTTCTCCTCCTTGTGTGTGGTGTGATTGACAACGGGGTGCAGTCAGTGGAAGCAGGAATGTTGGGGAGTATAGGGTACTGGGGATGCTCCTATCCTGGTCAGCAGAGCGGCGGGTCGGCGGGGAGCGCCTGTCCCGGCTGCGTGGTGTGGGGTTCCCTGGCTGACATTTGCTGCTGTGTGGCGTCTTTAACCCCAGCACTCGTCCTGCCTTAGTTCAGAGGACAGAGGCACCGCCGGCAACCCACCCGATCCTAACTCAGGCTTTGGAAAGGATGAGTGAGATTTTGTGTTTATGAATTCCACACATACTGTAGGAATATCAAGAACATGTAACTGTTAAAAAAGGAAAAGTAAAATGACTAAACATGAAAGAAAGAGTAAAACAGGTCCTTTACTTTTTTGACTGAGGAAAGCAGCCTGTCCCGGAATGCGTAGGACGGAATGCTATAGAACGGAGCTCCAACTAAAGATTGGAATCTAACCCTGCCCTCTGCTTTCAACGGCTCGAAGTCTGTCTTTTTAATGAAACTAATTTGTGTATTTAAGTAAGGGTTTTCAACAGTTTCCAGAAGTCCTTTTCTATCAGGACGAATTTTTAAGTAGTCGCTGATGGGAGAGTGTGCCTCTGTGGTCTGTGCCCGAGGCTGGCAGTCCCACGAAGGTCCGGAGCCCGCGAGCCGGTGCCCAAGGCCATGTCTGTGATTCGCAGGAGGTTCAGGTGACAGGAGGGCTTGCTCTGTTTTTCTCACTTCAATTTTGGACTTTTTTTTTTTGAGACTGTCTCGCTCTGTCACCCAGGCTGGAGTGCAGTGGCATGATCTCGGCTCACTGCAACCTCTGCCTCGAGGGTTCTGGTGATTTTCCTGCCTCACCTCCCGAGTGGCTGGGACTACAGGCGCCCACCACCACATCTGGCTCATTTTTGTATTTTTAGTAGAGATGTGGTTTCTCCATGTTGGACAGGCTGGTCTCGAACTCCTGACCTCAGGTGATCCCCCGCTTCCGCCTCCCAAAGTGTTGGGATTACAGGCGTGAGCCGCCACGCCCAGCAATATTGGAGGCTTGAAGAATACCGGAAAGGGGTTTCTTTGTGGCGGACCCGCCCCTCCCCCACCCTCCCCGGCAGCCCCAGGGCGGTGAGGGTGACTGCAGTGTGGTCACCTCAGGCTTTCCGGCCCGGCGGCAGCAGTTGCTTTAAAGAAGCTCCTGTTACTCCCTTTGTTCTGGGGTCTTGGTAAAGTTTGCTTTCCCGAAGCTCAGGAACCACCGCAGGCCGGGCTGACCCCCCCCACCCCGCCCCCATCCCACGGGGTCCCTCGGGTCCTGGGGCACGAGGATCCTTTGGGGGACACGGCCTCCGAGAGCTGGCTCTGCCCAGGCCGCGCTCCAGTCAGGGGGGGCTCCCCGCGTGCTCCTCGGGAAGGGGATCTCCTGGCTTCCTCCCGCTTCCTTTCCTTTCCTCTGCGTTTTCCGCAGAGCCGCCTCCCTGCTTTGGAAGCAGGTCCTCAGCGGCCTGGCAGCCGCCAACGGCGCACATGCCCCTCTGTTCGTTCTTTCTTTCCGTAACTTAAGGCACATTTCCTAAAAACGCAGCATGGAACGCTTGGCTGTTCGCAGAACGCGCATCTTGCGCTGCTCCCTCGTAGGGCGGTTAGGACGCGCTCGGCTCTAGTGGAAAGCTGCGAAGGTGGCAGCCTCCACTGTGCACAGGCCACAGGCGAGTGTGGTGTGGTGTGTGGCTGTGGGTGTGGACTGGATCTGCAGGCTTGTCCCCTCCCGTGGAGAGCTGTCGGGGTCCGGGCAGTGCTCAGTGGTGACAGCCACGGCACATTTGAAAGTCCACGTGTGTTTGCCCCACTGTGGTCCAGGACACGCGTGAGCCACACTCAGTGGACTTGCACCTGTGACATGCTGGTCAGCATGGCGGCCGTCAGCTGGGCGTGGAATGCATGTGGTTGGAGCCCGCCCTCGGCCCACCATGATTGTGATTCTCTGGGGCAAGTCCTGAGTGTGGGCAGCGCCTGAGGCCCCGGAGAGGGCTGTGAGCAGGCTCCTCCCAGTGAGGCACGATGCCACGATGTGAAGTTGCGTGGGTCTTTGGAGTGTTCTCCTGGCAGGTCGAGGGCCCGTGCGTGTGGGACCCAGGCCCGCCCTGCCTGCTGCTGGCCATGTTCCCTGTGCCCCGTCATGTTGACAATTGTGGCCAAATTCAACATCAGGCCCGTTTCCTGCACCCATGTTGGCACACACTGAGTCCAAGACAATTTCTGCAGAAATGAATCCAGAGGTGTTTATTTCTGGCACGTTGGATCAGATGGTCAGAGGGTGGGCGTCTTTCTCCCTGCGCTTCAGCTGGATCAGTCAGTGTCAGCCGTTGGCTTTAGCAAAAGGAAAATGAAAGGTTACTTTCCTCCAATAAGAAATGGGACTTTCCCACGCCGGATGGCACAGAGCCCGCAAACGTGAGGCCAGTCCACGCCAAGGCTTTGCCTGCAGACAGGCTGCACTGCGGCCGGCTGGGGAAGCAGAGGAGACCGCGGACACCCTCCCCACAGCGGGGCGCAGCTTTGCGCAGGCCCAGTGTGCGCTCTGAAGGGGAGCCCAGGGCGGGGTTCCGGGGCTGAGGCCCAGGGTGGGCCTCTAGCTCTGCTGCTGGGCGGAGCTTGGATAGGTGGGAGCCCTCACTTCTCTGCAGGGTGGCGAAGCTCTCTGGGTAGTGTGAGCGGTTCTCAACGTGCGCCTTGGAAAGTCAGCTCCCGTTTTGAGGTGCAGGTGTGGCCCAGACAGACGACTTCATTTTGTTGCTTTTTGTTCTTAACATGGGGAAATATTGAGAAAACATGTTTGGCTCTTGCTGGGGAAGCAGTGCTGTTCCGCACAGTGTTTTACAAGCCGTGTTTCCTTAGGATTCAAAGAAGGTGGCAAGAGGAAGAAGCAGAAGCAGAGAGAGGAGTCCAAGAAGAAGAAGTCGACCAAAGGCAATCACTAGACCGGACTCGAGGCGCGCGGTGCACCCCGGACGCTGGCGCTCCCCCGTGCTCGGCGCGCGGTCGTGCACACGCGCTAGGTAGCGGCGTTGGGGCAGGACTGTCTCGAGGCCACACTCGCTCGGCAGGATGATGCGATCACGGATCAGTCAGAGCAGGGTCAGGAGACGGGGCTGACGGCACGGGTGGCGGGGATAGACTTTTGGGATGCGGCCGCGACTCTCTGCTTCTCTCCAGCGCTCAATCTGCTAGCATTTTCCTCTAGTGCCTCCGGATCCTCTTCATTCTTTTCGGCTACTCAGCCACTCCGCGTGCTGCTGGAATATTTCTAGCTTTAGAAGTGCAGTAGGGCGCAGACAGCTAACTGAGTAACATTCATGAAATGAGGCTCTTTCCTGTGGCGGCGTAGTGTTTGGAATTAAAGTAATTCAGTGGAGTGTAACTTAGAGAATATCGCAAGTGACACATTGACTCCTGCACCTTTTCCTCAGAGCAATCCCGCCACACCAATAGAAGGCTGTCGTGAATCCCATCAGATGTAAAATCATTCCTTCTGTTTGCTCTTTTAATTTGCATCCTCTGCAGGTAGTCCAAATTCAACTTCAAATATGGTGTAGGTTTTGCTGGATTCCATATTTTTTTTTCTCGGATTTTTGCTAATTATTGTTAGCAAAATTTTTTGCTCAGCGGCACCCTCCCCTAGTGTCCATGGGTTAGGGCCGTGCTGGGGAAAACGGGCCGGTATTTACACACGCGCAAAACACCCAGAGACGGCACAAGGAGGTTGAACTAATGTTTCAGTTCGCGAACATTGACTCCTTATGAAAGTCACTTCTAACTAGATGCACCCACTTCCGGTCATTATTTCATTTGCATGATGTATTGCTTCCTCACTTTTTGTTTTTATTGAGCACGGAGTAGAATTCCAGGGCTGCCTTGACTTCTTCCCTGCACGCTCCCTCTCAGTGACTTTCCTTCCCTTTCACATGAGGATCTGCTGTTCATGTTCCTTTTTCCTTTGTCCTCTTGGACTTGAGGGCATTGTGAAAAGCTGTGATGTGATTTTAAAATGCCAGCAATTTTAATCTAGCCGTGTTGAAGCCGGGAAGTTTCTGGCGCAATCCATGTAGCAGTGACCCAGGCTTGGGAGCCAGAAACAAGTGTGATCTGTGATGTTATTTAACACAACTGTTGCCAAAGAGTTGGCTTTGTTTATTTGGTTTTGGTGGGGAGTGGAGTTGGTTTTGGTGGGGAGTGGAGTGGTATTTGATGCTTTCTGTGGACAATGTAACCCTAAACACATCATGTATTTGGTGGGGAGTGGAGTGGTATTTGATGCTTTCTGTGGACAATGCAACCCTAAACACATCATGTATTTTAAGTGCCACCTACGTAAATAAAACATAAGCATATTGAACACAGCTTGCCTGCCGTCCTTTGTAGGCGCCAGTAAGTTGCACTGTTAAGACTGATTAAAAGTGAAAGCAATTCTTCAACATTACAATTATGAAGGACAAAGTGGTGTTTTGCGGGCAGAAGTGTTGCTTCTGAAATTCTTCACTGTAAGGTGAAAACGTGACTTTAAAGCTAACACCCCCGGCAGGGCACGGTGACTCATGTCTGTAATCCCAGCACTTTGGGAGGCCAAGGTGGGCAGATCACCTGAGGTCAGGAGTTCAAGACTAGCCTGGCCAACATGGTGAAACCCCATCTCTACTAAAAATCCAGAAAATTAGCCGGGCATGGTGGCGTGTGCCTATAATCCCAGCTGCTCGGGAGGCTGAGGCAGGAGAATTGCTTGAACCTGGGAGGTGGAGGTTGCAGTGAGCCGAGATCGCACCACTGCACTCTAGCCTGGGGGACAGAGCGAGACTCTGTCTCAAAAAAAAAAACCTAACACCCCAGCGCACAGATGAGGTGGAAACCGGCCCTTACAAGGCGGAACGCACACTCGAGGTGGAAACTCCTGCAGCCTTCGCAGTAAACAGTGAGGCCCCGAGAGGAAAACCTCGTCCACTCGTCCTGGCTCTGCTGGCAACCAAAACAGGGCCAGACATGCGCTCAGTGCTGACGTCCTGGCGTCCGGCCTTCCTGGGGACTGAGGAAGGCAGTGCAGTAAATCACCTTGCAGGGGGGTTGGGGGGGCGTGTTTTAAAAACAAGATTAGTCCTTCTCAACTGCTCAGATCCCAGAATCTGCTGCTGAGATTGTGGCGAGGGAGGCAGGTGGTTCGACAGGTTTAGAGGTGACTGTTGTGCCCTCAACCCTGCTCGCTTGACCCTCAGGGCGTCCCGGGAGCTGGCCAGGCTTCCTCAGCAGGGACACAACAGAGCCTGGAGCGCCTTCCAGACAAGCCAGGCCACACACAAGACAGGCTCTTGGCAAAGCTGCCAGAGCCCCGTCTTCACACGGTCTGGCTGCCAGGTCAACTCGTGTCACAGGCGGGTCCTCCTGTCACTGAGAGGGAGAGACCCTGACCCCAGGAGGAGGAGGGAGCTAGTGTCCATGGAGCCTGGCAGGTGCCTGGTCAGCAGGTAGGTATCTGCTTCTAAGGTGAGGAGGGGTGCTGGGGTCTACCCGACCCCTGTGCCCAGCGGCCCCATCCCCCTAGGGCGTGTTCAGGAGTGGAGTGCCACTGTGCAGACACAGCCCGCGGCTGCCTATGCCAGCATCTGCTGAGGGGCTGGGGAGGGAGCCCGGGCCCTGGGTGTGCTCAGCAGCTGCTGAGATGATGGTAAAAGGGAGTGCGGCACCTGTCATCGTCACCTTTGTGATGTCCCAAGCACTGGGGGCCCTGCGGGGGGTGGGGAAGGCAGTGAGGTGGTGGTGGGTGGGAGGCAGGGGGCTGTGGACGGTGCGGCAGGGACTGCAGTTGTGGGACTGAGGTGGGGAGTCCTGGGGGTGTCAGGACCACAATGGGGCCTCCTGGCCAGCCCACTGCCAGCCCCAGGGCCACCCTGTACACCATTCACCTTTGTCGGGCACGAAGGGCTGCAGAACCCACTTTCCGTAAGTAAATACATTTAAACATTCAGAAACATTCACACCCTAACCCTAACCTGGGGGTCCCATGTGCCTTCCCTCATGTGGGTTGCACAGCTGGAGACAGGATCGGAACCAGGACATGGCGCCATCACCAGGGAGAGCTCTCTGCTCTTTTGTTCAGAGGCCTGGGAAAGTGGGACCATGACGTGAATAACCACACCTGAGGTAAACACATTTGCTTTTGTTTTTGTTTGTTTGTTTTTTTGAGATGGAGTCTCACTCTGTCACTTAGGCGGGAGAGCCGTGGCACCATTATCACACTTCAGAAAATTGGTAATTCCCCCATGCCGGCTACTTCTCAGTCCATTTTCAGAAACTATTTAGTTGTATTCTTTTCTTTTTTGAGGGAGAGTCTCGCTTTGGCACCCAGGCTGGAGTGCGGTGGTTCAATCATAGCACACAGTACCCTGACCTCCTGGGCTCAAGCAATCCTCCCACCTCAGCCTCCCAAGTCGCTGGGGCTACAGATGTGCCACCATGCCTGGCTAATTTTTACATTTTCTATAGAGACAGGATTTCACCATATCGTCCAGGCTGGTCTCAAACTCCTGGGCTCAAGCAATCTGCCTGCCTCAGCCTCCCAAAGTATTGAGATTGCAGGTGTGAGCCACTGTGCCTGGCCCGTCATTTTTTTGTTTTTGTTTTTTTGCAGGAGACTGGAGTTTTATTGTTATGCAAATCAGTCTCCCTGGCCTGTGATTTTTTAAAATTTGACTTCAGTCAAGACTACACACTGCATTTAGTTGTCATGTGTATTAAGTCTTTGTATGCTTTTACCTTTTATTATGAAAAATCTTAATGTCCAAATTGTGTGTTTGGAACAGGTAACTGTAGGAATGAACCCCTCTCCCCCACCCAGAGGTGCACAGCGCCTGCCCCTCTTGTGTATCTGCACCCCCTCCCCATTATGTTTTTTTGTTTTTGTTTCGAGACAGAGTCTTGCTCTGTTTCCCAGGCTGGAGTGCACTGGTGTGATCTGACTCACTGCAACCTCTGCCTCGCGGGTTCAAGCGATTCTCCTGCCTCAGCCTCTGGAGTAGCTGGGATTACAGGTGCCCACCACCACGCCCAGCTAATTTTTGTATCTTTAGTAGAGACAGGAGTTTCACCATACTGGCCAGGCTGGTCTCAGACTCCTGACCTCAAGTGATCCACCTGCCTCGGCCTCCCAAAGTGCTGGGATGACAGGCGTGAGTCACTGCGCCTGGCTCCCATCCTGTTTTGAAGTCAGTCCTGGGCTATGCATGACTTCATCTGTCAATATCTGACCTGCCTTTCCTCCAAGCTTCTTGGCTGGAATTCTTCGGTAAAGATGGATTTTCCCTTATCCACTGCTTGGGTCCCAGAAGTACAGTTTCTGCTTCAAAAGGCCCCGCACATTCTTGTTTTTCCCGAGTCCCAGCGTCTAGAGCGACCGGCTGGCTCCCTGGCTCCTCCGAGGACCCCGAGGTGACCAGCGGCTTTGTCTAGTTCCATCGTGAGCCCACAAGCGGTGATTGCACTTGTGGCGTTCCACGGTTGGGGCCATTGCCTTTGGAAGCTCGGATGGCCGCGTCTTGGGGCGATAGACGGACTCCTCGGTGCCTGCAGTTTGTGCTGGCCTCAGGGCCTCGGCTGCTCTGGGTCCTGCCTGGAGATGCCCGAGGCTGCCTCTGTGGACGGAGGGAGAGGGTATTTTTTAAAGAGAAAATTCATATTAGGATATATAATATAAAGGATTTGTGTTAATATTTCCAGTTCAAATTCAGGATTACAGGGTTTTCACTATTTGAATTTCATATCAGATTTTTTCTTTTACTCTGAGAATTTGAATTCTTTTTTTTTTTTTGCTGAACCCTAGAGACGGAGGGTTGCAGTGGCCAAGATCACAAAACGGCCCCCCATCTACTTTAGCCTGGGCGACCAGAGCTACGACTAGCTGTCCTCAACAAAAAGACGAAAGAAAGAAGAAAGAAAAGGATTGAGGACTCCTGGAATTTTTTATTTTTTAATTTTTAAATTATGTTATTAATTCTAATATATCGAAGTAATAACTATGTTGATGCGTCATTAGAACTAGAAAAAATTTGGCTGGCACAGCTGGCTCACGCCTGTAACCCGCATCTTAGGATGCCGGCAGGTGATTCACAGAGTCAGGAGCAATCAAGCCATCCTGCCCTAACACAGTGAAAGCTGCTCTATTAAAAAATACAAAAAATGAGCCTTGAGCGGGATGTCGGCGAGCCTGCCTGAAGTCCCAGCTACTTGGCGGCTGAGCAGTGACGAATGGCATGGAACCCCAGGAGTGGAAGCTGCAGCTGAGCTGAGATTTCCGGTCACTGGCCACCCAGCCTGGGAACAGAGCAAGAACTCCGTCTCAAAAAAAAAAAAAACTAACAAATCTTGGCTAGGATCGTGGTGGGCCACGCACTGTAATTCCATCCTGTGGACGGCCTGAGGCAGGGTGATCACCTTACAGCCAGGAGTTTGAGACAGCGCTGGCAGATAGGTAAAATCGCCTCTGTATTACAATACAACAAATGCAGCCAGGGGCATGGTTGGTAAGGCATGTAATCCAGTTACTCAGGAGGCTGAAGGTCAGGCAGAATCACTAGAACCTGAATTGGAGGGCCCTGCAGTGACCGAGATCAAGCACTGC